CACAGAGGTTAGCAATAGGTAGACTGTTTTGCACAGGTGTCTGATTTTTAAATTAACCCATTTCTTTAATTAAGGCTCACTTTCCCTCTGTGAGGTGACATCATCATCCACATGGAACAGATGAAGAAACTGAGGCAAAGAGATTAATTTACATGACTAAGACCAAATACCAGATGGATCTGGGAATACAACCCAGATTTCATGACACCCTGTCCTTTGTGTTAACCCACAAACCATTTCACTTCTCCAAATGAATCAGGCATTCATAAATTTTTGTTGGTTTAATCTCTGGTATCTTATAAACTTTTTTTTTAAAGCTTTATGAGGCAGATAAAGCAGGTGAACCCTCATGACTTACAAAGTACAGTGAAAAGATCTCTTTTGCTGGAACATATCTGGCTGACCAATAATATTTGCTTTACTAACAAACACCCAAATTATCCTGAATCCGAAAACATTTCAAGTGGGATACGCATCCTCTAAACACAACACTGCAACAGTCATAACACTGCTCTACCAAAGCCCAAGGTTGAACACTACTTGATTAGTTGTTTAACTGCCGGGTATCTTACGTCCCCCTTAGCGTACACCGCTGTCGTTGATCTGAATGCACTTTCTTTTTCATTAATGAAGCATGAGCAGGAATAAAACTCAGCTCTCCCTGTCCAATGCATTAGCCACAAGACAATTATTCCTCTGCTATGGGGACGAAAGTACTTTATTCATTTACCACGGAAGAACGTCATGTTTTTCCCCCCACCAGTGTGCTTTGGTCCCAGGGGTATAACAAGCAATCTGCATGCTCTGGGTGGCGGCAGCGGCCAGGGCAGCAGCGGCAGTGCTGCCCACAGTTCTTGCATCCCCTCTAAATCGACACCCTCAGCCCCCCCTCGTTACATGACTACCTATCTTGGGTATTCATCTGGTCCCCCCTCCATAGTAAAGGAGGGCACCAGTGTGTTCATCCTCCTAACGCATCTGTGAGGCAGGGAAGTGCTGTTACTCACGTTTTACATACGGGGAACAGAGACCAAGAGATGCTAAAGGCCAAATCTACAAATGGGCTGGGACTCTTAGTGTGACTCCTTGGCTTAGCGGTGAGCTCTGCTGGGAGGGGGAGTCCCGAGGATGGGCTCTTGCTCTAAGGTCTGTTTATCTTCTGTGCTTCATTCAAAACACAAGCAGTCCTTGAGACGGGAACTGGAGCCCAGGACTACTCTTTCCCATCTTGTGTGGTTTCATACAAAGTGGCACAGTTTGGGCAGAAGGGGTGGAGAGCTTCCCCTCTCCCCACCCCTAATGGCCTAGTGGTCAGGGCGGTCTTTAGGCAGATGGTAGATACAGAATTGAATCCCCACAGGTAGAGGAAGGACTTGTGACATAGATTTCATAGACAGTAGGACTGGAAAGGTCCTTGAGAGATCTTTGGGTCCAGCTCCCGCCCAAGGGGCAGGAAGTCAGCTGGGTCACCCCAGCAAGATAAGCATCCAAGTGTTTCTTAAAGGTATCCACAGTAGGTGTTTGCACCACTTCTGGGGGGAGTCTGTTCCAGAGTCTGGAGACCCGGGTGGTAAAGAAGTTTTTCCTTATGTCCAGTCTAAAACGGTCTTCCAGCACGTTGTGACCATTAGACTTTGTCTTCTCTCGGGGCACTCTGGTGACCAGACGCTCTCCCAGTTCCTGATGCACCCCTCTTATATACTTATAGGCTGCCACTGAGTCCCCCCGAGCCTGCGCTTTTCCAGGCTGAAGAGTCCCGTGGTGCTCAGCCTCTCCTTGTAAGGCCTGTTTTCTTGACCCCTAATCATGCATGTGGCTCTCCTCTGGACTCTCTCAAGCTTCTCCATCATGGGGGGCGGGGGGCGTTCCCTAACCATGGACCTGTCGTATAAAAAGGAGGCATGGGCAGCTGAGGTGCCTAGCACAGGGTTCTGGATGGCCTATGGGGACAGGCGCCTAAAGAGATATTCACTATGGCACCTCAGTCACACTTTGGACCTACCTGTAGTAACCGTCCCAAGGTCACACAGGATATCTATAGCACAGCAAGGAACTGAGCGCGGGTTTCCTGAAATACAGGTTATCACCCCAGATCCTGGGTCAGCTTTTCTCCAAAGGTCAATTTTCAGAAAAAAGGACTATTTTTATCTCAAAGAACTTGAGCTCCTTGCTTGGATAGCCTACAAGGGAGTTACTAAGTGGTCCTTGCACTGGTCATTCTGTAGTTTAGTCAGAAAACTTCAGTTTTCATGACTGAAAACGGATTATGCTTGGACGCAAATAGGATGCGGAAGAATTGAGGTCCATTCTTGGCTCTGCTACAGATTCTTTCTGTAGCCTTGGGCATGTCATGCAGTCTCCCATTGCCTCTCCTTCCCCATCTGTGAAGTAAGCATGGTCATCATAGTACTCCTCTGATTCCTGGTGAAGCATAATTCATTAAAATCTGAGAAGTGATTAGATACCTCACTGATGATAAATAAACCAACACTTGCTAGTCTGACACTTTTCACAATACCTACCTTCACTTTAAAAAGCGGGAGCTATATTCAGAGGAGCAAGAGCAGCATATGCTAATGGAGAGAAATGATTCCCGGCAATTAAACTAAAGCTATGCAGCAAATCAAATAGTCTCCAGCCTTTGGCTTTGGCAGAGCAGTCTTATGACTGTAATGATGTTTATTTACAAGATCCTGAGTAAATTTTAAATGGATTCAGATTAAGTGTCATTTGGTTGTTTGTTATTAAAGCAATTGACTGGCCCTTAGTACAAACACTGTTGGTCAGAAAAATATTTTTCAGCAAGACAAATCTCTTCATCACACTTCAAATGGATGGCTGCTCAAAGGGAGTAACTGGGAATGGGAAGAATGGTTCTTGATTTTTAAAATATAACTATATTGCAGCTAAAATAAACGGCTAATTGTACACACACACACACACACACACACACACTCTCCCTTGTACATACATTGTAATCAAGCTGATTTTGGAATCCACAACTCCCGCCTTTACACATACAGGGGAACTTCGGGCCATTCTCACTCTCACTTCATAGGCTTGCACCGGCTCAACTCACTATTTGATCCTTCCAACTTTTTTCCTTTATTTATTCATTGATTCAGTTTAGATGTCTGCTCATCAATGAACTCTCTCACTTCTACAAAAATCTAATCACTTCTCTTTCCACAATGACAGGGACCTGCCAATTTGAAAATGTAAGATTGAAGATTCTTGTGATATCTGCCTTTCTTCTTCAAGTAATACCACCAGGTATGAGGACCTGGGGTTGCACCTAAGAAAAATAAATACATTTCTAGTATTCAAAGTTGCAGAGGAAAGCTTGAAAAAGTGAACCCAGAAGATAAAGAAAAGGAAATCCTAAATCTATTATTTTTTTTAAATCTTATTATTTTTAAGTCAGCATCATGACTTGGTGTGGTCCAAACTGAGAATGGAGCTTGTCACAGAGACTGGAGGGTTGCTTGTCGTGCTATTTTTGAGGACTTCATTGTCCAATAAATAACTGCAGTCAAGACCCCATCCATGCATTCAGCATTTGCAAAAGATCATTATATAATAGCAGCAACCGGCACTCCACCATGGTTTCACGATGGAATAGTTTGTTCAGCGGGCTCAGGAAATTCAGCTCCCTGATCTAAATAAACTGGAGACAGTAACATCGGATGCAAAATGAACTCGAGGGAAATGACAAAACTAACAGTTATGAGGCGAAAGAGACAGTAGCAGCGTTGCTACTGTAGAAAAAAAAAGTCGTTAATTAATGCGCTCTCCAAAATTTGCCTTGTAAAACACACAACAGCTGTCTTAAGATCGAGAGGCTGCCCTGAGTGGTGCAGTTTTAAAAGCCTGGAAGCAATCATGTGCAGGAGAGGTGCCTGCTTTTTGAGGAGGGGTCTGAAGGAGGAGATGGACGCCTTGAAGGAAGTAGTGCGAAAATAAGCAGGACAGAATTGGGTAGCGGAGCAAAGGAACATGAAGAATATGTTCTCTAACCTTGATCCTTTGAATCAGCAGTGGAGATATCAATCAAATGGGTAACTCATCTAACAAAGGCCACTGCAGAGGGACATGTGGCTGAGATGCTAACGATGCAACTTCCTGGTTGAGATAAGTAACACCACTGTTGTCTGTCTATTGAGTTTTAGTGTAAGCGCCTTTCTGCACAGTGCTCTTAGAGCAGCAGCCTATTATGCTTGTAAAGCACTGCTCATGCCTGGCATCCCAAAGCACTTTACCAACTAATATAATTACAACTCTAATAAATTAATGGGATCAGCCTGGGAACAAGAGGAGAGAGGTGGGAGGTTTGCAGTTCATATTCTGGCACTGTCTGACCATTAGGACTGAAACACAAAGGAGCATTGAGTCCTAACAGTGCCACTCCTCTTAGCCTGGATGACAAGCCACATTTCAAAACAAACACAGCCCAAGGTTCAATTCAAAAGATGAGATCATGGCAACACCCTGCACTGGCACACACAGGGAGTCCCAAACTCAAGGGGCAACAGCAACAACCTTGAACCCAAAGCAACAATTCAGACCAAAGAAAGCATCTCAGGCACAATCCTTAGCTGGTATAAACTGACATGGCTCCAACACGTGGTGCATGAAAGCAATAGATTTAAGCCTAATGCTACATGTCAAGACCACTGACTTTTTGAGGCATGGTATTTACATACAATGCTTCCTATAATTATTGCTTCTGCCCTTTCTTTCTTTAAAAAAACAAACAAAAAAAGAAAGCAATAGCTGCATACGAATATGGTCCACTTCCATGATAGACTTAAATGATGAAGCTACAGTTTCATCACTAGATGGCAATACAGATCATGACAGACTACACTCCAGTTTCTGGTCATGCTGTAAATCTAGGTAATTGATTTTCAAGTCACTAGAGTTAACCAACGTGACTGTAAATCTAATGCTAGAGCTCAGTGGTCTCCATTAGAGTCAACGTCCACAAACAGTTGCTGTGCTGCGGTTACTGGGAAAACGCCGACTTGCATCAATGCAGAGAGCAACTGGTGGTGCCTCATATATCTGGTGCCATAATCGCTGGCAGATGCAGACTTTTGTCCAGTGGTGACCAGTACACATCGCTTCCTTGCGTGTGCGTTATTTCTGGAATGACAACGGTCACGATTCCAGACGCAACAGAGAACAAGGTAAGTTTTTAGGCTTTGTCCATTCCCACGGCTTATTCCTTATCTGAAAACAGGTTCATGTTTGTGACCTGCGGAAATTACCTCACTAAAAAACAGACATCAAATAACGGCAAATTAGATCAGATTCTGAGACAGGGTAAAATAGCAGAACTCCCTTTTAGATAATGGACACATGATGATTACCTCAACTGAGAATCTGGCACTTTTATTACACTTTTATTCAATAGTTTTTACAATCCATGGAAGGTTTTAAGAACAGGTTAGACAGACACCAGATTGGGATGGCTTAGCCAAGGATGACCCTGCCTTGAGTGTGAGCAGATGGCCAGAGGTCCCTTCCCTACTTTTCTAGGATTCAGTGAACAGACAGGAATAGTCTGCCTGTAAAGCTACAGAATTCAAGGCACATGAAAACTAATCCTATTTTGCACCCATCCTGGGATATAGTTTGTGCCTATCTCAGACCTTTTGTGCGCTGGTGAATTATATCTTATTTCACCTCCCCTGTTTCAAGGGGTAGTGCAGTATTTATGTCTCTACTGTATAGGGGGAAAAGTGAGGCACAGAGAAATTAAATCCTTTGCCCAAGGTCACACAGGAAGCTATTGGTACAGCTTGGATGAGAATCCAGAACTTGGACATGCATTTTAATGCTAAACCTACTGTACATCATTAACAGTTGGAAAGCATGGGAAGAGAAACCCAGGCAGTGAAACTTGCCATGGAGCATCCAGGGGTCCTTATGTGGACAACGATGAAAAGACTAGTATGGATATTAGTGACTAATCCAATGTCTTCTGGTATATCTTGGTTTCAGTATAAATGAGACACTATGTGCAATGGAGTTTTCCTGAAGCAGCAGGGAACATGCCTCAACAGCTGCCAGTAGGAAAAAGGATAAGGTCTACAATGCTGGCTCTGCCTGCCTGATATCTCTCAAAAAATCTATATAGGAAGTGGAGTAAATCTATTTGTAACCTTCTGAAGACAGAGGAGGACACAGGCTGCTGGGATCCACCTTAGACGGCGAAGATGGGAACCTGGGCTTCTGAGAGACTGCAGATAGAGAGGGTGGCAGAGGCGAGAGCTTCAGATATTTGATTGTTTCAGGTGGGCCTTAAATGAATATCCACTACTGTGCACAGTATCCTCAGCTCAAATGAGCAGCTGTCTGATTGCAAATTATACATATACAATAGAAGGAAAAGCATGATTCATCAAGGAAACGGATTTCAAATATGAAGCATCCCAAAGGCTGTTTGTTAGAGCTCTGCAAATATTTGGAGAGAAATTTGAAAATCTTGAAATTCAAGTTTTCTGTGTTCTTTGCTTACAAGGCATTGCAAACCAAACACAGACAGAAGTACCAAAAATGAGATGCCTCCAAAGTTTTTGCTCATCCAACCAAGCCCATGTTCCTCTTCCTCCCCTGCTCTTCAAAGAAACCCCGTAAAATGCCTAACACAGGCAGCTTCATTATGGCTTTAAAACAAGCAGAAGCATGAGTTTGCCACAAGATTTGAAGGGAAAAAATGGCTATTCAGTAAAAATAGTGAAGAAAACTCATTTCCAAAGACCAAGGGACAGGATTTTATACACTGTGAATAATATTTTTGTCTTTTTTATGCATTTTCCAACCCTAACACTGAATACAGGATGATTTTTAAAAATGATAATTTAATTCTACAGTTGCAGATCAGTGAGCATCATATTAGCTATAAGTCCCAGACGCAGACAACATATATGGTATTTTTATTGAGACTGGAGAGCCAGTTTGCTGGAGCTGACTCAGGGAGTGACAGCTGTTTGAATGAGGAGATATATCCTCATTTATGCAGTACTTACTCCTAGAATAGTTAACATTTAGTGTGGACATTTATAAATTATCTTAATGAGGAGGACTGTGCTTAAAATGTTCTTGAAAAGAGGAGTTGAAGAAAGAAGGAAAGAAGTCAGACATGGAGTACATTTTAAGTGAGATGAGTTGTTCTGCTACTGGCTGTGCGGTAGAGTATCATTCTACTTGTATGCCTCTTCATACATCATTGTGCTAATGAGGTAATGAGTAACTAGGCCCTGGTATGTTATAAGACACATGCCCTCCTTTCGTGCCATACAGCCCAACCAAATTGAAGAGCAGGTTCTAAAAATAAGCATAAAGAAGTAAGGAGGTCCCATGGAAATAGCGGTAAGTGAACAAGACTGGGAGCCAGGACTGGGTTTTGCAAACTTTGTCACATGAAACCTCCCCACGCCTCTAAGAAGCAAGAGATGAGCGTGACTGTACCTGTGCTATAAAGCAGGAGCCAGCAATGTTTTCCAGTAGCAGGCTGGAATGAGGCTGCCAAATGCTGCTAAAGCTAGTCTCTGTGGGTATCTATTCCCAGAGAGGTAGGGGAAGGGGGTATTTTAATTAAGAGCGGCTCCTGGACAGCCACTTAATTAAAATGTTGCATCATCACGTGTATTCAGTGTCCTGTGTTTCAAAATGATTTAACTAACATTTGTTTGACAAGTTTTAGTTAAAGCGCCCCCGCAGCCATTTTGAAATGTGGGATGCTGAATACACGTGACAGTGAGTCATGTTGGGGCCTTCTAATGAGGATACTCCAGCAGACTTGATTAACAGAGTCTACTATAATGCGCTCTAATTAGAACGCATCGGAGCATGTGTATAGGCACCACAGGCTGCTAACCCGTGAGCCATAGGTTGCTAACCCATTATAAAGAAATGAGGTGTTGTTGAATGCTTGCTGTTCGCATGTGCTGAATACTTGTTGTTTCCATTGACTTCAGATATGTTTGGGATTGTTCAGCCTCTTGAAAATTAGGCTGTAAATGGATTTCCTGACGTAGAGAACTAGGCAGTCCTGCATGCCACTTTGGCCACTAGCTCATACGGCTTCCTCCTAGAAACAAAAGCAGAAAGCAAGCTGTATTTACTATGAGTTACCCTGTAATTGTCTGGGCATGGATGGCAAGGGCATACCTGTGCACTGACAGTGGCTGGGCTGAGGCCAGAACCCCTCCCAAAAGCTCTAGTATTACAGTGGAATCAATCTACAAGCCGTCCATGGACTGAGACCAAAGGTCTGGACTGAAACGGGACTGAAATGTTAAATACCTCCAGTGTACTCATTTATTTATGACTTCTTCAGTCTACAGTAACTACAAGCAATAATTGGATTGTGCTCTGCATAGCAGGATTGATTTGCTATTTACCAATAGAACCAGTGCCAGGTAGCCCCTCTGTTGATAATGTCACGCCTAGAAACGAGGCGATACGATGAAAAATGCACTCAAGGCATAATGGTAACATAGAGGAATCACATGGTTGTTTGGGAGGCATATAGCTCTTGCCAGATGCAGATTTTATGCTAGCAAACATTCGAATGCACGTTTGTGCCTTCTGGGTCATAAACAGAATCTTTACCCTATTTGGCAGGGCTATTACTTAGCACTTTAACACTGCGCAGAGAATGCCTCTCTTTTTCCGTGCACCATGCTTTTCCGAAGGTCACGGCAAACCCGCAGAACAGTGGGCAAAGGCCTCTGATTGCCTCCAAGTAACGAGTGGCATTTATATTTAATTACACAGCAATGTGTAAGACACAGTAACCCAAACTCCCTTCTTCTGTGGAAGACAACAAAGCCCAAAGCAATATAAATGCCACGAATGTAAAACACCCACTGCAAAGCTCTCTGCCGACATTCATGTAGCTAGGACATTTTCTCTAAAGCTGCTTCTTGCCTGAGACATGGTGCTTCTCACAAGCAGCTTGGGGTACAGAACCAAGCATGAACATGAGCCTTCAATGTAATGCTGTGGCTAGTAAAGCAAGCAAAACACTGGCTTGCATCCATAGATGCTTCTCAAGCAAATCCCGGGACGTTGTTCTCCCGTTGTACTCGGCCTTGGTGAGGCCACAGCTGGAGTACTGCATCCAGTTTTGGGCTCCACAATTGAAAAAGGATGTGGAGAAGCTTGAGAGAGTCCAGAGAAGAGCCATGCGCATGATCAGAGGTCAGAAAAACAGGCCTTATGACAACAGGCTGAGAGCCATGGGGCTTTTTAGCCTGGAAAAGCGCAGGCTCAGGGGTGATCTGGTGGCCACCTATAAGTTTATCAGGGGTGACCACCAGGATCTGGGGGAACGTCTGTTCACCAGAGCGCCCCAAGGGATGACAAGGTCGAACAGTCACAAACTCCTCTGTGACTGTTTTAGCCTGGAAGGAAGAACTTCTTCACTGTCCGAGCCCCCAAGGTCTGGAACAGCCTGCCACCGGAGGTGGTTCAAGCACCTACTTTGAACGCCTTCAAGAGACATTTGGATGTCTATCTTGCTGGGATCCTATGACCCCAGCTGACTTCCTGCCCTTTGGGCAGGGGCCTGGACTTGATGATCTTCCGAGGTCCCTTCCAGTCCTAATGTCTATGAATCTATGAACCACAGGGACACTCATCAACTCTTGTCCTGCTGTTCAGACAGCGGATGAGGCCCCTGGTTCTGTGTACTAGAATTACAACCACGCTGCCCTGATTCACTTGGAAAGGGTTGCAGGCCACTGCAGATGCAAATGGCTTGCCTCTGCCCTGGGTCTGTCTGCCACATTGGCTGTGCCACTACTTGGCTGAAGTAGAAGTGCCCTGCATAGCTTCATGGATGTGCAGAGTTCTCTCTTCATCCCCTCCCTTAAAGGATTCCTGCACAGTCCCAACATAATGCTAAAGCAGTGCTAAGATGATGCAGGCTCCTGGGCACCTCTGACAGTTCTGCCTTGAAGAATTTGAGTCCAGAAACTGGGCTAACAACTTGTGGCCACGGGGCAAGTTAGACTGTGGCATGGCATCTCTGGGGAGGGGGGCATTGCTGGGGTCAAAGTGCTCAAGACACAATCACAGGGAATGAGAGTTCAGCATTCATGCGGGGTGAATGAAAGGGCCTTGCTTCTCTGCATCACTGTCTATTCAAGGCAAGTTCACTATAGCACCAGCACAGCACAGTCCCGCTACAGGACTGCAACCCTGCACTTTATCCAGAACTGCATCATCTAATGCCGGAAGCCACAAGAGCTCAAACCCTTGCACGCAGAGAAAGGAGACGTGACTCACTCGCCTCTCTGATAAAAAGGGGAGGAGGGCCCTGGATTAGAGAGAGAGAAGCATGCAGAGGAGAAGGATCCATGCGTGCTTTGTACTGAACACTGCACAGCCCTCTGCCGGCTATATTGGCAGAGCTGACTGCCTCTCTGCCGAGTCACAAAGGTATCACACAGGAGAGCCAGCCACTGGCAGCATGAGCCACTGAGGCCTTAGGATGCTGCTGTCATGGGACTGCAGGACATCACGGAGCTGTAAAAAACTTGTGCAGAGTCCACTCTGTTCACAGCCCGGGCTTCTTATATGTATGCCATCCCCAACACCAACTCGACAGCCCTAGTTCCTGTTTCACTGACCAAATGGTGGTGCAAGGAGATGGGGCGTTACACTCATTTGCTTTCTCTTGGAAAATGTGAGAGCATGTGGACTGATATCATGCACAGAAGAGGGCTTTGGAAGAACAGTAACCAGTATAATATTTGCCTCATACAAATGTCATTAGCAAGACCTGCTTTGAGATGCCACCTCCTGTTAAAGGACTGTCTGACTTACATGCAAAAATAAGAAAAAAAAAAGCCTAGGGCTTGGGGCTTGCATGCTAAGAGAGACACTGCATGATGAGAATGAGAAAATTACCCACCTCTCTGCTTGCTTGTCAGGGGGGTTGATAGCAGCACAGCCTACCGCTCTGGGCAAGAGCAAAGCAAGGCTCAGGGTAAGATCCCTCAGTTCTGTTATTATGCGCTCTCTTTTTTCTCCCCAAACAATACACCAAGCAGAACCATTTCCCTTTGCAAACCCTCAATATCCAAATTGTTTGCCCTTGTTTAGTGCCTTTAAAGCAAATAATTTGAAAGCATCCGTTATAAAAAATGATACTCATCTACAGTAATGGCTCAAACATTACAGCTTACGAGACAGTTGGTTACTATAACGTTCGGTCTCATTGCCATAGGATACTTCTGGCATTAGGGATGCTGTCAAAAAATTTTTGAAAACGTGTCAGGATATGGAACATTTCTATTTTTCTTTCAATTATATTTATATATTTATTTTAACAAGGGGCCGTACTATAGTGGCTGGAGGTTTATAATTATCCCCAGAACAGTCAGTGGGAATGAAAGACTAGCCCTGAATTTGGCAGACTTTGATTCAGCCCTTTAGCATCGAAATGCAAAATACTCCCAATTAAGAGTTGGCTTCTTAGATATACCTGTCAGATCCATAAGGTTCAATTCCACTGTCCACTGGTTATACTGGTGCAAATCAGTCAGAGATTGGTTGCTAGCCATGCTCTTGGCAGAATATGACCCATTGTTACGGCTCTAGCCATTCCTTCTGAATTAAACATGCATCCCCGCCCCACCATGCCCATATAACGACGGACTGACCACATGACCTTGCTTGGCCTGGTTTTGTGGTCAAATGCCAGCAAACTGAGTCCCAGTCAATGAGAAATCTGCTGCTTTTGTTCAACTATTTGAATTGGAACCTTTTCCTCTTGGAAAGGAAATACACTTCTTGGCGCAACAAGGAACGGCTTAACGAATCACCCCAGTGAACATGCACTTATCAATCAGCAACAAAGGTTTCTGCGGGGCGACGGTTTCTTGTTTTATAGACACATTTTTCATGTATATTTTAACATCTGGAGGATGTGATATCCCTTGCATGTATGCATGATCCCAGAAAACAGTGGGAGTTGATGGCTGCATGGGGGAGCTGTTCAAAGCATTACTGAGGTGCTGTGTATTATATTCAATCCCAATTTAATTGGGTCTGATCTTTATGAGACAACTGGACTGGCTTGACCGTAACTGATTGTTTTCTGTGAGTCTTTCCCTACATTCTTGCCATTGCTAAATGTAAGAGAATAATGAAAAGCAGGAGGCAACAAGGGGAAAAGGTTTCCTGTCTGGTACTACCCAGGGGCTCAAATTCAGGATGTTTTGATACATATGAAAGAAAGCAGCTTGTGCATTAGAGACTGGTTCAAATTGGGAGTTACTCTGTTGGTTTCAATGGAATTAGGTTGGCCAGAGAGGAGAATCTGGCCATGGGATCCCGATCTCTCTTATTTTCCATCAGCTTCAATGGATGCTGTGACATCAGGATCATGTCACTACCCAGGTGCTGATCTTGGGTGAGCTGGAGGATGTCTAGGGAAGCCCCGAGTAATCTCAGCAACACTGGATGAACATCAGTATAACAGAGGTAAGGGGTCTTGGACTTGTGGCTATATTATAGTACTGTAACCGCATTGATTTCAGTGGGGCTGTATTGATGTAAAACTGAAGTAATGTATTAGTGGCTCAGGTCCAGAATGCAGCTTGCAATTTTCCCTTTGGGACTGATCCCAAACCCACAAGATCAATGGGAGGCCTCACCTCCACCTCCACACCTCCTCCTGCTTGCGCAGGGCTCTGGATCAGATCCAGAGGGCCGGCTCCAAACCCCTTTGGGTCCTATTCACCAGTCCGCTATGCAAGCGTCACAAGTCCTGCCAGCCTCACAGTGGTCTAACAGAGCAAAGCATCAGGCTGTTTTACTTGATTATTATCATTATTGAAAGAGGGGGAGAGAAGCGGCTGGGAGGAAAGCTACAAATTATTTTCAGCGACAGCACACAGCCAAATAAATAAATGAGTGAGGGGAAGCAGGTACGGCTTGACATCCCCAATGTGAATCCCCTTCCAGTGATGACAGCCCTCATGCTTCACAATTTGCTCAGTCAGTTCACTTTCCACATGGAACAATTAACAGCCTGGAAGACTTCCAGCCGGGCTCTCTTGCCTGCTCTCCCTCCCCAAGACTTCCCCGACACTCGGGTTACAGGCGTCCCGCCTCCGTCCACCCGGGACCCTCACAAAGAGACGGGTAACTGTGGCGGCTCAGGGGGCACCCCTGACAGATCGCATGTCCCAGCCTTATTTTGGGGCATAAGAGACATTTGAGAAGTTCGCTGCATTTTACAGAGCACGGATGCAAGCCTGGAAGGACACGTTTGGCAGATGCAGCATAAGTGAACGGGAACCTCCCTTTGAAGCGCTGCATCACGTGCAGTGCAGCACTCGGCAGCCCGGTGCATCAAGAGAGAGGGCAGAGCTCACCCTCATTAGCTCGCAAGCGCCCAGCTCAGGTCCATCTCGACAATTATTTCACAATGGCCACGAACAAGCACTGGCGTCATCGCACCCCTCGTCTCATTACAGATTATTTCCTTAGTAACGCAAGGCTCTGATGTCTCTCGTTAGAGTCTTATTTGGCTCCCATCGCCATAGCAACGCGTGCCCCGAAGCCATTCAGATTTTTACAATCGCAACGCCCGGTGAAGTCTAAGACGAATCTCTACTCTGCACTTCGAGGTAGGGAACTGAGGCACAGAGAGGCTTAAGTCAAAGGAAAGCCAGGTTGGAAGTAACTTCAGGAGGACATCTGGTCCAGCCCCCGCGCGAGGCAGAATCATCCTCCACCGAACCCTCCCAGCCAAGTGTGTGTCTAACCTGCTCTTGACAACTTCCAGGGATGGAGATTTCACAACGTCTCTAGGCAGCCTGTTCCAACGCTTGACCACCAGCAGAGTCCGAAAGCGCCTCCTAAGCTCCAGTCTAAATTTTCCTTGCTGAAGCTTGAGGTATTGCTCCTAGCCCTGTCCCCTACAGCCACAGACAAAACCCCATCTCCATCCTCTCTGTAATTGCCCTACAGGTATTTGGTGACTGATTGCATTAATGATGGCGAATAGGAAATCTCCACTTGCGCTTTGCCCCGTGTGCCTGGCCACACTGCTACATTTCCAGAATCACTTGTCTTGATTTGCAAGTGGCTCTCCTGCTAATATCACCCAGTACACCATGGCCCTTTTTTGCAACCAGAGCAAACTTGGCTCATACTCAGTTTATGTGCCTATTACCCCCACGTCCTTCTCTGCAGTACTGCAGCCGAGGCAGTCATTCCCCAGCCTGTATTTGTGCACCCAGTTATTTCATACCAAGTGCAGGACTTACACTTGTCCTTGCTGAATCTCATCTGATTGATTGTGGACCATTTCTCCAGTCTCCTCGCCTTGCCCTCCACAGCATCTGCAACTCCACCCAACTTGGTGTCATCTGCAAATTTGCTAAGTGTGCATTTGATCCCATCATCCAAATCACTGAAGTCACACAGGAAGCCTGTGACAGAGCCAAAGGTTGAATCCAGCTGGCCTGAATCTTAGCCGATCTTTCTTTTCCCCTCATTTCACAGAGACACAAAAGCGAGGGATTCGAAATTGGTGAAGCCCCCAGTCCTATCTCACCTCTTTGACATTATGGTGTCACTTTAAAGAATGAGATGCTCAGCTGTTGTAAAGGACAAACTCCCACATGGGGATGGATAAGCAACTTTCCATAAATCTAGTCTAATCCACCTGTATGGATTTTTTTATGAGCCTATATTTTTAATAAGCTCATCATGGCAGTAAAAGTCAGCTCCATGTTATCCTTTCCCTGATCAACAGTTGCATTTAATGTTGCTCATATGGTCAGTGGATGAGAGGAGGCAGCATTAGAGCAAGTCAGAAAAAATTCAGCTCTATTTCTCTTAGCTCTGTCAAAATCAGAATATCAGTTTTGCCAAAATTTGGTATGAGAATGCAAAAAAGGGTGTTGGGGGAGAGAAGCCCTACTCTTCTTCAACTATCCTGTTTTTCGACATTGCTTTTTGAGGGGGAATGAAAAATTTGGATTTTTTTTTATTTCAAGACAACTTTTGGGGTTGGGATTTTGAAAAACACGTTGTACCACATGCTATAACTTGGCACAGTTACTTTTTAAATCCGTAAACACCTTTCAGTTGTTCCAAAATAATTTATTCCTGTCCCCCCCTCTACGAATTTAGGGACTTCATTTCAGATTGTAAGGAAAACATGTTACCCGCAGCAGGAATTTCAGACCTCACCTACCTCTAACAGCCACCTCCGAGGGTTTTGCTCTCTTTTATAGGAACAGCACTGCAGCTCCTGTCAGTTCAGGTTTGATCACCAAATACCCGTCATGGGATGATGCACAGCTCCTCCAGGTATTTCAGCCACTGGCTGCCTAGCATAAAGCATTTGTAAAACTGAAGGGCTTTACTCTGATCCCACACCAGTTTTTCATCTCCCCTGACTCCATAAGAAATTCTCCTGATTTACACTTATTTAAAGGAGATTAGAATCACGCATTCAACATAATACAAACCAGGCAATTGCAATAAGTGCGCCTTGTCCATAAAAGAGACGAACCTGTTACAGCCCACCGCATCAATCCTTTTCCAAGTTGTGATAAAATAAACTATGATTTATTTGCCATTGCACAGGGAAGAATTGGGAATTATCTGGTAGTGACCAATTATCAGGAGTCAGTAACGTGGGGGACGCAGTGGTGGGGAGCTGGAATAATGGCAAATTAATTATGAAGTAGAAGGGGAAGGTAGGACCTCATATCTTCACCTTCACAGTGGTGTATTATCCATGGGTAAACTGCACTGCAGTTAGCATCACATGGGTACCGACGAGCATTTCCTTGAAATGCTTCTGAG